CTGCCTTGTTGATGACACTTCCCAGGTAGGTGAAGGATTCAACATCCGCCGATGGTGCCATCATTTTCCCTCTACTTCTTTTGTATGTTTGTCGCTCTCTTGTGACCCGCTATTTCCGGGGTGCCTTGATAGTCGAAGCAGACTTTAGAAGCTAGAGAGGTGAACAGAGTATGCCTGATTCCCTGTATGGACTTCTCTGTTGACATCCACCCCTTGGCGCTCATATGACCTTATTATGCAGTTGTGAGCGCCGTAAAAACCTCCACTAAAACTAGAAACTAGAATAAGCGTTATTGTGTTAACGGTTTTTCTCTTCACTCATTTCCCACACAGCTCGCGTTGCCGCCGTTAGGTTGAGTTGAATCAGCAGCCTAAATAATCCAAATTGTGTTGAAGAAGGCGTATAACATTACAATCTTATCCAACAAGGATGTCTATCATAAATATACAGCACAGAACTACGTTGAGGCATCGTAGATCTGAATCGCTGACAAATCTCTAATAATAAACTTAAATATGTCACGAAACAAATATCCACCCCAAATATTGGATAAAGAAAAAGAAAAGCTGTTCTCATTATTGATTGGTGAATTAGGATATCAAGAAAGAAGAGAAAACCTTTAACAATTGTTGCACTCCTTAGAAGGTCGCTAAACTTTACGTACCTGTGGCAATCTAAGATTTAAAAAAAGTAATTATGAAATCTCCCAACAAAAACTGATCACGCCGAATTGCTGCCCGAGTCACGCACGGTATCGTCTCGTGTGTTTGACTGACGTGAATCAGCGGCGCTGACGCGGAGATAAAACAGACAGATCGTTACCCCAGTGTTACAAAGTTCTATCTGATCAGTACCCAGTTGGGAGAAATTGGACGTTACAATTTTTTAGCTTCACAACACGTCAAGTTTTTTTTGTCGAATGTAATTCTTTGAATGTTTTGATATCGACCCCGAGTAATTATACCGATTTTGATAGAGCAGATAGAACATTTGGTTTCTGACCTCATGGTCTTTGTAACTCAAAGCCGTCAAAAATGTCAGATAGACCTTTGTGACTCCGAGGTAGCGAGCTTGGAACAATGATATAGAAATATGAGTCGCCCCACGCTATGGTGCACATTCTGAATTATCTCCCGTGTCGATCGACCCGGGCTCCACTCTTGTGACGTCATCCCTCCGTGTAGATCTGTTGATCGTCTGATGGTCTTTGTCGTCAGTGACGGATTAATCAATTAAGTGATCACGATTGATTCTCCATTGTGAGACATCGCGGTGAAATCACGCGCTCGTCAAAAGAATGAAATAAAAATGTCGACATTTTCCCGCCGGTTTGACAATTGTTATCGAATTTTTTGTTGCAACAGCTTTATGTCCTTTTAAAATACATTTTTGTGAGGATTTTACTGATGAAGCGTTGATGAAAAGCAAATTACAAATGTAATTGTTCAGTTTTCAAGGCCTCTCAAGCTGTGGAATTCACCAAACTTTGGTGCTCATTTTCTCGCTAATTCTTAAAATTTTAAAGAATTTAAAACAAAACAACAAATATACATTGCTGTTCAAACTCTGAAACGCCCAGGAAATTCAAACTTTGGCGTCTAAGAAGACGAACTTTCCAGAATTTAGATCTAAACGAAACTAAAGAAAAACTGAAAATTAAACTACAGTAACTTCAGATTCCTCAATAAAACTGTGCACCCTTTAAATGATTCTGTACCATCTTTAATTTTTTTTCGAATTCGAAAGTTCAGTGGTTGGGCAGTTTTAGGTCACCAAAGTGACGAACGTTCACAAATATAATA